TAAAGAAAACGAAAGTATTTCATTTCGTTCATAGAAAACGCGGATCATTATAAAGATAACTTCCTTTCATATATGATTTTTTTTTTCTTTGCATTCATAGAAAATGCGATTCTTAATATGGATAATTTCTTTTCATTTAACTATAACTCTAAACCTAAATAGGATGCAGTCAGATGGCCTGGGTATATAATTTAACTTTGCACCATGACCAAATGCCGTCCGTTATTCTGTTGTAAAATCACCACTTACAAAGGTTAAAGAGACCACCACCAAGTATCTGTTGCAAGTGACATTGTATTTGACAGACCATCCCAAGTGTCTTATCAGGCATGGGGAAAGAAGAAAAAGAGCTTATGGTGAGCTTCGTCACGAGTATAATGCAACTCTTCATGTGTAGTTCTTAGGAAGAGATACAAGTTTCTATTAGGTAGAAATCACTACCACTTTATTTTAAGGTGGGAACTATTTTCTGTGGGATAAACAAAATTCAGGACTGTAACACTATAAGCCAAGCATTACAACACCATTTAGAGCTATCCCCATGTGCGGATATACGATATACGCCTCTTTCAGTATTTCTACCACTTTCCGAACACTAATTAGATATCTAAGTTGTTCCTAAAGGGCGTTATCGGTCGTCAGGATTCGCCTGAGTGGTGTTAAAATGGCAACATTATGCTTGATTGGCAGTAGAAAAAGTTAAGAGGAACCAAATCCGGTGGATGAAGAGGTGGTGCTCTCGTGTTGCCGAATGATGCGGTGTCCAATGCCATTAATGTTGAAAGGAAAACACTCTCCCTCCTCGTCGCGTCTCTGAATTTCCTCTCTTTCTACGGTCAGTTGTTATCCTCCTCTTGCAGCGCGAGTGCGACTCAAAGCACCTCGTTAGGCTCATAGCATCATTGCCGTAAACCTGCTACACCATTTTGAAGGTTTATCGAGTCTGACACAATCAAGTTTGCTTCCCAAGCTGGAATTGCAAGTGAAAAGAATATACTTGTAACAAAAGGTGTGTAATGCAGGTCCTAGTGCATGCACCACAATGCCATTTACTCATATAATCCGTTTGTCCTTATCCAAAGCACCCCCGGAACTTTTTTTCGTTCCTCGTAATACGTAAACTAGGCTGCCTTCATTTACTCCGAGCGTGAATTTTCCCCGTTGTACAGAATAGATATACTATTTGTACCGCTCGATGTTCCGTTATAATTCTCATATCCATATGTGGGCTCTAAGACATTGGAGTACCAAGGATTCCAAGCACTCTACGAAGTGGTGATCGACAGATGATGGGATCTTTATTTATTCATTTATTTATCTTTTTTTACAGTTGACGTCAGAGGTTTGTATGATAAAACTACTACAAGGCAAATAATCATCAAATGCGTTTTTAGAGTCAGCCATCTTCAGATTTTTTATTTTGGGCAAGGACCGCCATTTGATTTTGGTCGATAAGGCACTCCTACCGGACACCTCAGTATCGATGTGTGGAAGGCGATTGCTCTTAATAAGACCTGACATAAAGTCTTCTGAGCGTGAGCACAGAACCATAATGTGTATGTCCATATTGGCAAAATACAGGAACCTAAATAAATAACTCTAGCCACTAGGGGGCGAGCCAGCCCTACTAGGTGCCTGTCCTAAGCCCGGATAAATGGGAAGGGTTGCAGTCAGCAAGGCTATACGAGCGTAAAAAGGAGACCACAACCAAATAATGAGTAGACGTAAAAAACAAGCCTCGGAAAATGCTAGGGCGTGAGCAAGGGCTATCGAGCCAAGGGCGGGCCCGGTTAAAGAAATTAGTGCGCCTTAGAGTGGGTTCCTTAAACATCGAGACAATGAATGGAAAGGGAAGAAAGGTGGCAAACCTGATGGAGAGGAGGTGTGCTTTGCGTGCAAATGACTAGGTGGAGGGGAAATAAGGCGAGAGAGTTGAGAAGGGGGTGTAAACTGATCTACAATGGAGCAAATGGACAGGGTAGAATTGGAGCAGAGATCGTTTTGAGTAGGGAGGTGAAGGATAGTGTAGTGGCAGTGGGAAGGAGAAGTGATAGAGCAATGAGGTATGGGTCTATGCACCTCTGGTTGTAATGAAGGGGGGAGGGAGCAAACTCTCTGGGAGCAAGTAGATCTGGAACTAAGTGCAGCCCCAGCGGGAGAAAATTTGATGCTCGGAGAGGATTTGAATGGACACATTAGAGTGGAGAGGGAAGTGGTGGAGAGAGTTCATGAAGGATGGGGTGTAGGAGGGCGAAATGAGGAAGAGGAGAGGGTGTTGGATGTGGCTATGGGCTTTTGACTTGACCATATGCAATACATTCTTCAAGAAATGGGAGAGGAAGTATATGACCTCCAAAAGTGGAGACAAAGAAAGTCAAGTAGACTCCCCTATGCAGAAGGCAACACTTGAAGAAATTAGAAATTATAACGTCATAAATGGAGAGGCGGTGGCGGCGCAGCATAAGCTGTTGCTGGTGGAGTGCGAGATTGAGTGTGGAAGTCGGAAAGGGCGTAAGCAAGCAGTGGTAAAGGCTGTAACCTGAAAAATAAGTTTAAAAGAAAGAGGCAAAGAAGAGATGGAAGAGATCTGGTATCCATGGAGATAGAGAAGAGTGGAAGAGAGCAAGCAATAAGGCGAAAAGGGAAGTAGCAAAAGCGAAGGCGAGTGCTAGAAGGAAAGTCGAGCATGGGCTAGAAACACCAGGGGAAGAAAGAAATTTATATAGAATAGCCAGAGCAATGGACAAGGCATCAAAAGATTTCACTCACATCAGACAGGTTAAAGATTAGCTAGGAACAGTTTTAATTGAGGAGTATAAGATCAAGGAGAAGTGGTCAGGACAAGAAAAGATTATGGAAATCGAATACCAAATCAAGGTGTAATAACAAAAATAACTAGAGATGAAGTAAAGAAAAGTTTAAAGAAAATGGAAAACAAAGTTACAGGAACAGATAGCATCCCGGCAGAAGTGTGGAAAAGTTTAGAACAGGAGGGAGTAAACATGTTGGATCTGATGCAAAAAATCTATCAGGAGAAGATGCCATTAGAATGGAGAGATAGCGTGATATTACCGATATAAAAAGAGAAGGGAGACATCCATGAGTGTGGAAACTACATGGGTATCAAATCGTGCCACACACTACGAAAATTTGGAAAAAAAATAATAAAGAAAAGGCTAAGAGAAGGTGTGGGAGACGAGCAGTTTGGCTTCATGCCTGGTAGAGGGACGACAGACGCGATCTTTGCACTTAGGCAAATGATAGAAAAGCACAGAGAGACGAGGAAGGGTCTGCTTATGGTCTTCGTGGACTTGGAAATGACGTATGATAGAGTGCCTGGTAAGAAACATGTATGAGGGAGAAAAACACGAGAGTAAGAAGTAGTGTGGGAGTCACAGGTTGGATATCCGTAAGAGTGGGATTACATCAGGGTTCTTCCCTGATGTAAGGCAGAAACAGACAGAAAATGTATCGAAAGCCAACGTTGTGAGCATCTCCTAAGGACTGTAATAATATTACTAACGATGATGGTAATGGTAATAATAAGGGAATAATGATAATAACGACACTACTAATAATTATGATAATAGTAACGGTAATAATGATAATCTTAATATTCATAATAAAGATGATAATATAATGATAATAATAACAATAGGACTGAAGGTAATAACAATCATAGCAATAATAATAAATTATAAAAATAAGAGTTACAATGGTAATGATAACGATAATGGTGATCATTATAGTTATAATGATAATGATAATAATTATCATATTAATAGTAGTAATAAGGATGATAATAATTACAACAACAATAATAGTAATGATAATAATATTAGAATAATAATAGTAATGAGGATGATTACAATAATAACGATAATAACAGCAACAACAATAATCATGTTGATAATGATATGAATAACTGTAACAACAATGATAATGATAAGGATAGTGATAATGTTAATAATAGTAATAATGATAACAATAATGATAATAATAGTAATACTGATAAGAATAACAATAATAATAATATCAATAATAATGGTAATAATAATTACAATAATAATGGTAATAATAATTACAATAATAATAATAATAACAATAATAAATAGAATTATAATAATAATGCTATTGATAGTAATAATAACAATGATAATAATAATAATAATATTACTATAATGACAACAACAATAATAATAATAAGAAGAACAATAACAACAATAATAATCAACAATAATCATAGTAATAATAATAATAACATTATAATTTTTATTATCATAATTGTATTAATAATAACAACCACAGCAATAACAACAACAACAGCAATAATGATAATAATAATAATAATAATGATAATAACAATAGTAGTAATAGTAATAATAAGAATAGTAATAGTAATAATAATAATAATAATAATAATAATAATAATAATAACAATAATAATGATAATAGGGATAACAATAACGATACTACTACTCCTAATAATAATAATAATAATAATCATAATGATAATAACAATAATAATGATAATGATAACAGTAATTATAATGATAATGATGATAGTAATAGTAATAAAGGTGGTAAAAACAATGTTAATGAATATAATAATGATAATAATTTTATTGATAATTTCAACAAAGGTAAGGATAACAGTAATAATGACAATATATGTTATCAGTAACTCATAAATAATGTTGTAGTGAGCAATATATTAATTCAATATTGACGTAATTAACATCTGTGATCTTTGTTCTAAAATAAATAATGTGGTTCGTGAAATAGACACTTTTGGTCAATAATATCTGCATAGCAAGTCTTCCCTGGCTTAAAATTTTTCACCTAAAATAAGTTTATCAATACTATATAACTTATCCAAACGTTCAAATATAATCTCTCGCATTAAAAAACAGAGAAGAAAGCATGTAAAATGTATTTATTAGGGATAAATAACAGACAGGTGAATAGTTTTGAATATGGCGCCGCTCATAGTAGCTCTCGTCGCCGCCGCGAGAGCGCGCTGGTGCCCTTCCAACATTGGCTCTTGGGCCTGAAACTGGTGTGTACCTTCTTCCACATTTTTATCCGTGTCTATCGATCTTATTAGCAAGAAATACGGTTGGAAATGCTGATATTTGCTTTCATTGTTCTCTTGTGCTTATATTAGACCTAGTAATCTGTGTTCAACATGAGTTTAAAGTAAAAACTAAAAGATTTGAAGTTTGTGTTTACATGCGACCGTCGTCGGCGTGAAAACCAGAGGTAGACATGTGTTGATGTCTGAACTCGGAAGCGATTGTTTGGGCGGAATTAAAGGACCCGAGGGAATGGAATCTCTCGCGCAGCTTATTCTTTTGGGTGAATAAGATTTGTTTTTTTTCCAGAGTCAAGATGGTGCGCTACAGCACTGACCCCGAGAACACAACCAAGTCGGCGCGAGCCAAGGGATCCAATCTGAGATGCAGTTTCAAGGTAAGAAAACGAAGAAAAGCGATAATTTGGAGGAGGAATAACACCCTCGCTTACTAATTTGTGTGGGCCACGTTGCTGAAAATGTCTAGTAACCAGCGGCAGAGGAGACGGGCATAGGATGGGGTTAGCTGTAACAACTATGAGCAATTCTCATGCTGGAGCGTTTCAAAAGCTTTACATTATTTTTCAAGAGCAAAGTGCCCTCCAGGAGCTCTCAAAATCAGGCAACCATGTGAACGTGAAAATTGAGATCTTTATCTTTCTACATTCTATGTATCCCCTAGACTTACGGGCTTGCCCCCAAGTCAAAGGAATATAATAGCACCTTAATTAGTATTTTGTGCCAATCTCTTAAAAACGCATTTAGAATTTTAGCTGTGTGAGGGCGTTGTGGACTTCATCTGTAAGTGGTGATATTTTGCTGATGTCATTTCAAGGTAAATATGAAGCCAGAGAAGCTGTACCTGTGATGATTATTACTATTTTTTATGCTCTATAAATTTGTAGTGTCCATTTCTTGTGTGCAACTTTTGGTAATATTAACCAGATGTACATTTATTCTCGGATAACTAATGGAGTGGTTACCTTGACAAAATCCAAGACCTTTTTCGTATATTATTAAAGGTGCGCAAATCGAAAATAAGGAAGATACAGGACAGAGATGATCAACCAATTATTTTCCAAGTCCCCATCTTTACCTTAAGACCAAAACAAATGATGTGTAACTCGTTACTGTGATCTATCAATTAGTCCATATATTATGGGCTTGAACAATTTTGTAATTACAAGCGGCCATATTTTTTCCAAACTCGTGTAGGTAATACATTCTTTTAATATACATCTTACAGTTTTTGTTAACTATTTATGCTATTCTATACAACCTCATGCACATGTGCATTTTGCCACTGGGAGATTTGATAGGCCATGTGATGCCATTCCTCAAGTAATACCAGAGAGAAATGGGACAATATGTAGTATATTGTAGTGGCAGAGTTGGGTAATAAAACCTACATGAAATGATAGAACAATACAAACCAAGACAAAGTTCTTCTGTAGCATTGTGTGCAAATGCTTCCCAAGGGTGCTAGGTATATATATTACCCCATGGGTCCAGGGGGCAGAGCCCCCTGGCTAGGGAATATATACCACTGTGTTAGGTTAGGGTGGATGTTGGGATAGGTTGCCCATTTACACAAGGAACAATGCCTAGAATCGTTGAAGGCAGTGGATTTCATGCAGAAAAATATCAAAATGGTTTTGAAAGTAACTAGTCTTCCCTTTTCTTTTGCGTATAGCACCCTTGGGAAGCTTTTGCACACACATTGCCATAGAAGAACTTTGTCTTGGTTTATATTGTTCTATCATTTCATGTAGGTTTTATTACCCAACTCTGCCACTATCTTATACTACATATTGACCGAGAAATGTTTAATTTCAAGTGTTAGCAATTCCAGGTCATTCTAAGTCTTGTAGTGGATAGATAGAACAAATAGACGGTAGTATTTATCACAACCTGATAATTGAGCCCGTCTGGTGCCTCAAATGCCAAAAAAGTTATTAGAAACCAAGAAATTCTCACCCTAGATGGAAGTGAAGAAAAGTTGTTTCACTATAGTAAGGTATGTGGTTTTACCCCGAGGGAACCAGGGGGCAGAGCCCTGTCTAGGAAATATATAGATCATAGTGTATAAATCCCACAGGGTTAAGTTTAGGTTTGTTTATTGGTTAGGATGCATGATACGTAATTTTTTTACTTAATGAAGGGGGTTTGACAGACCTGGCCGTTTGAGGCGGGCGATTGCCCGCGCTCGCCTCGGGTTAGCGAGGCGAGCTATTCATCGCTCGCCTCAATGTCAGTTCGCACATTAACCGCCCGCCTTGGTTTTCATTTCATTTCTCGACACCTCTTGAATTAAAACTAAAATATTGACAGGAACTTAATCCCTTATCTTTTGACTTAAAAATAACACTAATCACCTTGAACTTGAACATCAAAATGCCAGTTTTCGAATGACTTTTAGTTTGTACTAATGTTATAAAATTACGCTATTTGATTTAAGTTTGGTTCTGTTCAAACCTTGTTTGTGAGAATGTGGTTGATTTGCGACTATATGAAACTATCGTTTTATTTCTGTTGGAGAATTGTCATCTTGTTTTGTAAACTTAGCTGTTTAAATACCAATGTTGCTTTTGTTGTTTATTCGTACACTTTTATGGACGATTTTCAATAGATTGAAAATCGCCCGCCTGACTTTAACGAGGAGAGCGATGCACCGCTCGCCTGCTAAAATGCTCACGGCCAGGCCTGGTTTGATTCCCATAATTTTTAGAAAGTTGGTGTGTTGGTCTGTAGACTTAAAAGATGGTGGGGATTTATGGAGTTTCATTAGCTGATGTAAGCATTTTTTGTACATGTTTTACACAATTGTTCCCTTTCTTATTTTTGTCTGGTTTACCCTAATTTCCCTAATCTACTTCATGCCCTCCCCTGCTATCGGGACTTGTCAAATCACATCAAGATTTGTTGGCTGGAGATTTGTTCTCACCACACAAGAACAAATCTGACGATATAAATATTGTCAGGGAAGACTCGATTGTCAGTCAGAAAATTATCCCAAACCGCTTTTTCTTCAGAGTACAGCTATATGCGTGGCATTGTGTGAAGTGGGAAGTTCTGCTATATGCAGCGGACTGTGTTTATACCATACTCATTAAGATATTTAATGCCTATTATACACAGACTACAAATGCAATATTTTTTCACTTTTATGCACTCGATTAAACAATATAAATGAGATTTGAAAATTGGGTTCTGATAGTTTGCATTGATCTCCTTTACTCTTAACAGTAGCTTAACAGATGCTGCCATATTATAAAGCATCAGTAGTCAAATATAATTGCATTGGCCTCATATTTACCACAAAATGAGGGAATTATCTGCTGCATATCCACAACACCCTCACAAGCCAGTTCTCAACTCAGTCACAGCAATTATATCACAAAAAATCTGGTCATTAGACTTACATGAGCAGCCACTCTGTTGTTCATGCGAATGTGTGCAGTGATATGACTGCCTCTTATTTGCAAAATTATTCACTCATTTTACTCACAAGCATTTTTAGCTTTGCCATTTTCTAATGTCCATATATGCCATGACTGAAAAGTAAGGTTTTTCACCTATATCCAACCAGTTGATAAGAAAATTGTGTAACTTGTAAAACTTTGGAATACATGTACAGGAAAATCAAAGGACTCTCTTAATCAAATGGTATAACTACTCATTGATACATTGAATAATCTGTATAGGCAAAAAGTTTTGTAAATTAACCAGAAATCACCAGAGTTTATCACCCTCAGGGATTTCTGTTACCTGGTGGTGATGGGTTAGGAAGGTTTTTGGTTCACATGATGCCAATTGTAGGTTTATAGATATGGCTAATTTTGGTCATAGCAGGAATTTTAACCCCATACTGACTAGCCACGCATTCAGGCGTCAAAACTAACCGCTTGATCTGTTTAGTTTGGCTGTACACTGTGGTGACACACCAAAGTGCTTTGAGCCAGAGGTTCAGCTTGATGTAGCGATTTCCTGCTCTTAAAGTCAGCTTGTTGCCAGAGCTCTTTCTTTCTTTTTCTTTTTTTTTTCTTTTTTTTCTTTTTCTTTTTCTTTTCTCTCCCCTTCCCCTTCAGCCATCAGTTAGGGGTTAAAGAGTAATAGGTTTTAAAATGGAAAAAAAAATCTGTTTTTTGTATGTATGCGAAATCAAACCATTTTTGTGTGCGTGCGTTTGCTCTTACACACTGAGTTAATAAAGTGCTAGAAAGAATGCTAATGGTTATTTCTTTCTTTACAGAATACATGCGAGACTGCCAATAACATCAAGAAGATGCCCCTTTCTCGTGCTGTGCGTTACCTGAAGAATGTTATTCGTAAGAAGGAATGTGTACCCTTCCGCGTCTTCAATGGTGGTGTAGGCAGGTGTGCCCAGGTAAGTCCCCCTTGTATTAAGTGTTTAGATTTTACTGCTCTATTAAATAGTGACTGATCTGTATCACCAGTAGAAAATTGCAATAAATTATCTAAAGTTTTTCCAAAGTGCATCTGCAACATTTAAATTACTTTATAGGCTAAGGCCTGGAAGACTACCCAGGGAAGGTGGCCCAAGAAGAGTGCCCGCTTCCTCCTCGATCTTCTAAGGAATGCTGAAAGCAATGCCCAGTACAAGGTGGGTTTGAGGAGCTTTATCTAAATTGACTTGGTGTTGCAATATTCAAAAGATGTGTGTATAAACTGTTATTGTATTGGTTTTAACCCCTTGGTGCCGGGTCACGCCGATAGGCGTGTAAACAAAGCGCTCGAAGATAATGCATGTATTGTTACCTATTAATGTGATATCTTCCCCTTAATTGAAAACAGGGCCTCGAGGTTGAACAGCTGGTGATTGAGCACATCCTGGTTCAGCGTGCCCGCCAGATGCGTCGCCGCACATATCGTGCTCACGGTCGTATCAATCCCTTCATGTCTTCACCCTGCCACATTGAGGTGATTCTTGCTGAAAAGGAACAAGTTGTTTCCAAGGCACAGGATGAACCCATTAAGAAGAAGGTTTCCAAGAAGAAGCTTGCTCGCCAAAAACTCATGGCTGCCAGGGAATAACTTGTAACTTCACAATAAAGAAAAAAAGACTGTGTTTGTTTGACTTCCCTAATCAGTTCTAACACCCCTTTTTGGCTAAAATTTTCAGATTTACTTTGTACCAATCAGTGTTATTAGATGGGAGATCTTGGACACATTGTGAAGGTAAGCAACTTGTTTAGTCTTTTTGCGTGACTTTATAAGCATATTTACATTATGAACATAAGATGAACCAAAGTGTTCTTGTACACAAACTAATGACTAGGTTTTTTTTCTGGCAATGTCCAGACACTGGGCACTACATGTAGCGGAACTTCCCGCTCCACATGTTCTAGTGTGTTGCTGCTTGTTTAGTCGTACCCTGCAGACCAAGTGGTTTATTGTGACCTGTCGGGATGGGGTTAATGTTCAGATCTCTTGCTCCTTTTACTTGGAGGTTTTGATTAGTTCAATTAAATAGATTTGTTGAAAAGTAGGACCCCTCCCCCCTGCTATATATGGAGGAGAAAACCTTGGATAAACCAGATAATGTGTAACCATTGCACAATAGTATTTTGTATATATTGGACTTTGTCTGAATGGAATTTCTTTTCAGGCAAATACTAATAGGTCTTAGGAATTGCCTATACCTTTCAACAGTAGAACAGCAATTCAAAGTGGAGACCACTCTTCAATTGCCTTGAAGGTGGCAGTTGTTAATTGGATTAACAAGATAATTCCAAATGAAAATATAATTAAAGTGAGTAGTAATTGCAGATAAACTTAATCCATATATTAAGTGATGAAAACCTACAAAACTAAAAGATCATAATGTTGATCATGCATGGTACTGAATTGACCTCCAAATTCAAAGAGGAAAAACATGTAGTATTTTTCTCATGGTGTTTATCTTTTCAGATTAATAAACTTAATCCAGGGAAGAGAGTGGATTTAACAGTATTCAAGGTTAGTGGTTGTTACTACTGAGCATAACTGTGAGTTGATAATGAGGTTAGACGACAATATTACACCAATGGGTTGATACTAAATAGGATTCTATAAGAAAGAAAGATTTGGGGTGGTTCTGGGTGGAGTGGAGGAGTATTAAGTTTCTCCCCAGCTTTATCATTTCAAGTTAGATGCACTCTTCATTTATAGTTGGCATCAGAGACTACATTGGTATAACATTCTTGCATAAATAGCATGTAATATTCTATTGGAAAATGTGATGATATGCATCTTCTTTCCCCATCCTATGTGTTTTGAAGGAAAATGAAGATTCTGACTAGGATGTTCTGGATTTTACTTTAAACGGTATTGGTAGCTTCCAATCATGTTTTCCCTTTTTCAGATATTTGCTGAACCTCAACAGGAAACTAATCAACCAACAATAATAGAAAACCAATCCTCAGGCAATTATGGTAATTAAATCCTTAAAACTATGTATAATAGAGTAAAATAGCACTTGGTTTGTAAATTGTATGTTCTGTACTTGAATAGTGAATTACACTTCATGCTATTTTCTTTTAAAATGTCATTAATAGGATGAAAATTATCTTCTTTCCCCATCCAAAAAGTAATGCAGGACAATGAAGATCTGAGAACTGCACAAAAATATTGTTTTGCTTGTATAGATCATGAGTTTTAAAGGTATGAATGGAATTTTTCAGGTGACTGGTGATACTAAAGGGGAAATATGCTTGCCCCTTTACCAGTAAGAGTTCGGAAGAGCCAAAAGACGGTTGTCTTGTCTGCCATTGTGAGCAGTATTCTCATTTTTTCAAGTAAGTATTCTTGGTTATTAACAACTGCTAATTGGGACAGTAAACAAAACTAAAAAATCCTGATAGTAAATAGTACATGGTAGTGAAATCACCTGGGAATATATTTGACTGTGAATAGAGGAGTATTGAGGGTGGAGTTCCACTGTAATGCAACACAAGTATTGTGCTTAAAACCTGTTGCTATCATTGTCAACTTTTTATTTCTCTTGTCTCTTCTTCCTTATTTAATCCCTTTTTCTGTTGGAAATACCTGTCCCTAACATTTGGCTAGTGTGATCTTTTGTTCAGCATGGCCAATTAGTCAATAAATTCAATGCTGTTGGTATAGAGGGAGATTAGATAGGATGAGAAACTATATCCAATTACACTGGAGAAGATTCGGTGAAGTATAGGGGTACAGGGGTAGTTCTTGGCCTTGATTCTGGAGGACGATGCCACAGACAAAATCTAATGGTTCACAACACTACATCTCGCTTATGATTTAACTGTTTGTTTCAAAGTTAATGCTCTTTTAAGGAACTTGGCTATAAGGGAAATCTTGCCATCTATGGATTTGTATTTTTTACGGGTAGTTTTACATGTCTGACAGGTCTTTGAAGTGTAAAAGTTATACAGCTAAGAGTGCCTTTGTATATGAAGATCTATATTTTTCATTGTGTTTCTTCTATTGATATATTTATCATTGAAATGATGTTTGCATAGTTCAACTGAATACATTTGTTGAAAAAAAAAATTACTGACAATGATAATTACCGACTCATTAATATTAATGAGTTGATATATAACAAGGCTAATGTTTGTAAATAACTCGACAGGTCTAAAGGAGGAGTTAAATGGCAAGAAAAAACAAATAAGGTGAGTCTTTCAGAAATATTAAAACATTGTTAATTTGCTGTTAATTTGATGAAAAATATCTTCTTTCCCCATCCTAAGAATAATGAAGGAAAGTGAAGAATCTGAGATCTTTATAATAAGTGTTACTTTTTATGCATATGGCAGTGTCTAATTAGGATTTCTTTGCAGGTAACCACTTGTACCTTTAAGCCATTAAGATTGTGGTTGTATGTTGAAGAAATTAAAATGGAGATTGCTTGAATGTGGCAGCTGTGAAAAGGATATCCTGTTATAACTTCAAATATAATTAGCATTGTACAGGTTAGTAATTTCAGTAAAAAATGTTTTTTCTGTGGTTTCTGTGATGACAATCAATTTAATAGACAGATCCTAATGTTGATCATGCATGGCACTGAAGTATGATGATGATGATGTAGGAAGAGGTTGTATGGTTTGTATCTAATGATAAGACTTCTTTCAGATTTATCCACTTGATACAGTCAACATATTCAACAGAGAACTCGAGGTTGGTACTAGTTCTTTAAATTTTGTTTTGTAAACACTTTCAGGTGGCCAACTGTGGAAATCATTAACTTTATTTACTAGTAGATTTGAGTAAAGCTGATATATCTACTTTTACATGCATATCACTGGCAAAATCTGATTCACAACTCAATGACTTGCAGAAAGTTTTTAAATGTACAGTCTAGACTATTTTTCTAACTTGCAAGTAATATATTGACATAAATTATTAATTGTTGGAAAAGTCAGTGATGCAAGTTGTGATTATCCAGTGTTGGATGTCCTATTCATTTGTATTAATTTTTGAAACGTTTCAATATTGGGGCTCCTTCCCATACCCAAAAATAAAGCAACTCTCATTCACACTCCTCTTGCATCATCAGTTCTGTAAAATTACATCAATAAGATGACAACTATCTTCTTTCCCCATCCAAAAAGTACTGCAGGATAATGAAGATTCTGATATTTGATGTTATATTATAGAATGTGTATATTGGGCATGAGTCTGAACGGAATATCTTTCCAGGTAACCAATGGTGCTCCAAGGAAATCCACACTGCCATAGTTACAGTAAAACTTGCCAATTCAAAATGAAAAATATTTTTGGGTTGTCTGGAAAAGATGGCCATGGGTGAACACCATTGTTTATGAAATTAATGAGCATTATGCAAGTGAGTGAATTTAGCAAAAAAAAAAAAGTTTTGTATTGGTTGTATGATGAAAGTTATTATAATGAACAGATCCTAATGTTGATCATGCATGGCACTGAAATAACATCAACATGTATAAAAAAACTTTTAGTATTTGCATCTCATGATCGCTTTCTTTTAGGTTGAGGAAATTGTTCCAGAGAACTGAGAAGCTTCTACAAAAGGTTAGTATTCATAAAGAGCTTTGGTATTTGCAGTGAGCACTTCAAATAAGTGGATAATGAACTCTACTCTGAAATGAATTGAAATGCATGACAATAATGAACTCAGACATCAGAATGTTAGTTTTGACACCAATTTCTAAAAGTTTAGATATTCATTATCTTAGAATTTTAGGATGTTCAATTCAAAAAGATTTTCATACTCCCATACCCAAAAACACCACTCCACTCATATATGTGTGGTATGTTCTCAAAAGTGCTATGAACAAGATGACATCTATCTTCTTTCCCCATCCAAAGATTAATGCAGGATAATGAAGATTCTGATTTCTTTATAATAAGTGTTACTTTTTATGCATATGGCAGTGTCTAATTAGGATTTCTTTGCAGGTAACCACTTGTACCTTTAAGCCATTAAGATTGTGGTTGTATGTTGAAGAAATTAAAATGGAGATTGCTTGAATGTGGCAGCTGTGAAAAGGATATCCTGTTATAACTTCAAATATAATTAGCATTGTACAGGTTAGTAATTTCAGTAAAAAATGTTTTTTCTGTGGTTTCTGTGATGACAATCAATTTAATAGACAGATCCTAATGTTGATCATGCATGGCACTGAAATAACATCAACATGTATAAAAAAACTTTTAGTATTTGCATCTCATGATCGCTTTCTTTTAGGTTGAGGAAATTGTTCCAGAGAACTGAGAAGCTTCTACAAAAGGTTAGTATTCATAAAGAGCTTTGGTATTTGCAGTGAGCAATTCAAATAAGTGGATAATGAACTCTACTCTGAAATTAATTGAAATGCATGACAATAATGAACTCAGACATCAGAAAGTTAGTTTTGACACCAATTTCTAAAAGTTTAGATATTCATTATCTTCGAATTTTAGGATGTTCAGTTCAAAAAGATTTTCATACTCCCATACCCAAAAACACCACTCCACTCATATATGTGCGGTATGTTCTCAAAAGTGCTATGAACAAGATGACATCTATCTTCTTTCCCCATCCAAAGATTAATGCAGGATAATGAAGATTCTGATATCTGACTATAATTGTATCATGTCTTGTATACATATGGCAGGAGTCTGAATGAAATTTCTTTCCAGACAACCAGTGATACACCAAGGAAATGCACTCCACCATAGTGCCAGTAAAAGATGCAGTTTGAAATGGAGAAAAGAATACCTTTGGGTTCTTTGGAAAAGGCAGCAATGAGTGAACAAGATTATCCTCTTATTAAATTTGAAATTTAATGAACAATATACAAGTGAGTAATTTTATTATTAAGTGTTTTTGTATTAGATATATGATGAAAATAAATTATGAACAGATCCTGATGTTGATCATGCATGGCACTGAAGTAACATCAGAATATATGGATATTGTTTGCTTGTGGCACTATCTCATGATAAAATGTTTTCCTTTCAGAAGAAACTTTATCTAATAATAATAATAATAATAATAATAATAATAATAATAATAATAATAATAATAATAATAATAATAATAATAATAATAATAATAATAATAATAATAATAATAATAATAATAATAATAATAATAATAATAATAATAATAATAATAATAATAATAATAATAATAATAATAATAATAATAATAATAATAATAATAATAATAATAATAATAATAATAATAATAATAATAATAATAATAATAATAATAATAATAATAATAATAATAATAATAATAATAATAATAATAATAATAATAATAATAATAATAATAATAATAATAATAATAATAATAATAATAATAATAATAATAATAATAATAATAATAATAATAATAATAATAATAATAATAATAATAATAATAATAATAATAATAATAATAATAATAATAATAATAATAATAATAATAATAATAATAATAATAATAATAATAATAATAATAATAATAATAATAATAATAATAATAATAATAATAATAATAATAATAATAATAATAATAATAATAATAATAATAATAATAATAATAATAATAATAATAATAATAATAATAATAATAATAATAATAATAATAATAATAATAATAATAATAATAATAATAATAATAATAATAATAATAATAATAATAATAATAATAATAATAATAATAATAATAATAATAATAATAATAATAATAATAATAATAATAATAATAATAATAATAATAATAATAATAATAATAATAATAATAATAATAATAATAATAATAATAATAATAATAATAATAATAATAATAATAATAATAATAATAATAATAATAATAATAATAATAATAATAATAATAATAATAATAATAATAATAATAATAATAATAATAATAATAATAATAATAATAATAATAATAATAATAATAATAATAATAATAATAATAATAATAATAATAATAATAATAATAATAATAATAATAATAATAATAATAATAATAATAATAATAATAATAATAATAATAATAATAATAATAATAATAATAATAATAATAATAATAATAATAATAATAATAATAATAATAATAATAATAATAATAATAATAATAATAATAATAATAATAATAATAATAATAATAATAATAATAATAATAATAATAATAATAATAATAATAATAATAATAATAATAATAATAATAATAATAATAATAATAATAATAATAATAATAATAATAATAATAATAATAATAATAATAATAATAATAATAATAATAATAATAATAATAATAATAATAATAATAATAATAATAATAATAATAATAATAATAATAATAATAATAATAATAATAATAATAATAATAATAATAATAATAATAATAATAATAATAATAATAATAATAATAATAATAATAATAATAATAATAATAATAATAATAATAATAATAATAATAATAATAATAATAATAATAATAATAATAATAATAATAATAATAATAATAATAATAATAATAATAATAATAATAATAATAATAATAATAATAATAATAATAATAATAATAATAATAATAATAATAATAATAATAATAATAATAATAATAATAATAATAATAATAATAATAATAATAATAATAATAATAATAATAATAATAATAATAATAATAATAATAATAATAATAATAATAATAATAATAATAATAATAATAATAATAATAATAATAATAATAATAATAATAATAATAATAATAATAATAATAATAATAATAATAATAATAATAATAATAATAATAATAATAATAATAATAATAATAATAATAATAATAATAATAATAATAATAATAATAATAATAATAATAATAATAATAATAATAATAATAATAATAATAATAATAATAATAATAATAATAATAATAATAATAATAATAATAATAATAATAATAATAATAATAATAATAATAATAATAATAATAATAATAATAATAATAATAATAATAATAATAATAATAATAATAATAATAATAATAATAATAATAATAATAATAATAATAATAATAATAATAATAATAATAATAATAATAATAATAATAATAATAATAATAATAATAATAATAATAATAATAATAATAATAATAATAATAATAATAATAATAATAATAATAATAATAATAATAATAATAATAATAATAATAATAATAATAATAATAATAATAATAATAATAATAATAATAATAATAATAATAATAATAATAATAATAATAATAATAATAATAATAATAATAATAATAATTATTAACAAGAAGTGTTAAAGCATTAGATTTTATTTATTTTTGTTTATTTATTTTTTTTATACTAAAGCTTAGAGGAAAATCAGGTGAGGGCACATAGAATACCAAATGATTTCTTTGTCAATGAACACTTGTGGAACCATCTATGTTAGATAAATTTCACAAAATACTACCGTAAACATCACATTCTGGCAATATTGGGTTAATAAGATGACAACCATCTTCTTTCCCCATCCTAAATATTTTGAAGGAAAATGAAGATTCTGAACAAGTTGTTTTTTCATTGCTCTAATTTAACATGAATTGCCTAATTTAATCTTATTTTTTTTTTATACTAAAGCTTAGAGGAAAATCAGGTGAGGGCACATAGAATACCAAATGATTTCTTGCTCGATGAACACTTGTGGAACCATCTATGTTAGATAAATTTCACAAAATACTACCGTAAACATCACATTCTGGCAATATTGGGTTAATAAGATGACAACCATCTTCTTTCCCCATCCTAAATATTTTGAAGGAAAATGAAGATTCTGAACAAGTTGTTTTTTCATTGCTCTAATTTAACGTGAATTGCCTAATTTAATCTTATTTTTTTTTTATACTAAAGCTTAGAGGAAAATCAGGTGAGGGCACATAGAATACCAAATGATTTCTTTGTCAATGAACACTTGTGGAACCATCTATGTTAGATAAATTTCACAAAATACTATAGTAAACACATTCTGGTAATATTGGGTTAATAAGATGACAACCTAACGTGAATTGCCTAATTTAATCTTATTTTTTTTTCATTTTCAGAGACTTGATGTGCAAACTCGAAGTAGGAAACAAGCATTAGTAGTGATGATGAGTAAGTTGCCCAAACCATGTTCTGTACCAAATTTATCAACGGTCAAATTGCTACTGTAGTGGAATTGTGATGTAAATGGTCTTTTTAAGTTGTTAAATTGTCTTGCTTGCAAATGGTATTGTTTGGATCACTATTTTCAAATAATGAAGCAGTGTGGTATCAAATTTTAAAGATCATCAGATTTAATCTATACAGGGTATGCATAATATATGCATTTATGTTCAGATGCAAAAACAAGATTATGCCTTAAAAGAGGACTGAGATGCCACAACTGTCAAACTGTAAGACAGCACTTCTGTTAAGGGTTAAATGTGTCAATATATATGCTTAATATTGTCTAATTTACAATTTGTAAAGTCCTTAATAGTTTCTGATAATTGCATTAACTACTGCCTTTTTATTCTGACATTTCTTTGTAAACATCGGGTATATGAAGCCACATCTTGTATTCTAATACCACTGAAGATGACATTTACAGACATACCACCATACCCACAGTGAGTTTAGTCTATTAATGAATCAAACACTAAGCTGACCTGACCTATCTCGCCTGTTTATCAATTTACTAAGTTTTTTATTGCCATTAGTGTTGTCAATAATACTTTAATAGTTATATTGTCAGTGATAATAATAATAATAATAATAATTAACATCAACTGTTAAAGCATTAGATTTTATTTTTCTTTTATTTATTTATTTTTTTTTTATACTAAAGCTTAGAGGAAAATCAGGTGAGGGCACATAGAATACCAAATGATTTCTTGCTCGATGAACACTTGTGGAACCATCTATGTTAGATAAATTTCACAAAATACTACCGTAAACATCACATTCTGGCAATATTGGGTTAATAAGATGACAACCATCTTCTTTCCCCATCCAAAAAGTAATGCAGGAAAATGAAGATTCTGATATCTGGATGACTGGAGCACGTCTTGTATACATAGTGTGCGAGTCTGAATGAAATTTCTTTCCAGAAAACTCGTGGTGCTTCAAAGGAAATCGTCTCTACCCGTGTGTCAGTAGTTTTGGCTTGTCTTGAAGATAGCCAAGGGTCTGATCAGGATTGTCTTGTTGAACTTGAAATTTAAGGAACATTGCACAAGTGAGTAATTTTAGCCTTCAAGTTTTATTTTATTTTTGTTACTATGATGAAAATTTATTTAATGAACAGATCCTAATGTTGATCATGCATGGCACTGAAATAAAATGATTATGTATAAAATGACCTTGTAGTATTTGCGTCTCATGATGGTTTTCTTTCAGGTTGATAGAATTTGATCCAGTGGAAAGGGAAGCTTCTACAAAGAACTCAAGGTTAGTAGTATTTATAAAAAGCTTTGATATTTGTAATGAGAGATTTTAGGATGACAACAATCTTCTTTCCCCATCCAAAGATTAATGCAGGACAATGAAGATTCTGATATCTACATGACTATATCATGTCTATCATGTATTAGGCAGAAATCTGAATGAAAATTCTTTCCAGATAACCAGTGATATAACCAAGAAAATCCACTCCACTGTAGTGCCAGTAAAAACCAGTGCAAATGTTGTTTGCATGACTGGAAGGTAGCCATAAGTGAAATGGATTATTAGAACTTAATAACGTTGCACAGGTGAGCAAATTTACCAAGATATTTTAATTTTTGTTTGTATGATGAAAATCTATTTAATGAACAGATCCTAATGTTGATCATGCATGGCACTGAAATAAAATGATTATGTATAAAATGACCTTGTAGTATTTGTATCTCATGATGGTTTTCTTTCAGGTTGATAGAATTTGATCCAGTGGAAAGGGAAGCTTCTATACAGAACTCAGGGTTAGTGTTGGTTTGTGTTAGGTTTAGTATTTTTAATGAGTGTTTTTAGGATGACGACAATCTTCTTTCCCCATCCAAAGATTAATGCAGGATAATGAAGATTCTGATATCTACATGACTATCATGTGTCTCATGAATAAGACATGAGTCTGAATGAAATTTCTTTCCAGATAACCAGTGATGCAACCAAGTAAATCCTCTCCTCTGCCAGTAAAAATAAGTGGGAGTTCAAATTAGAGCAAAAAAAATTTGCTTGTCGGGAAGGTAGCCGTGAGTGAACAGGATTGTCCAAATTTAAGAATATTGCACAGGTGAGTAATTTTAGCAAGAAATTTTAGAAGTTTTTATTTTTGTTTGTATGATGAAAATCTTTTTAATGAACAGATCCTAATGTTGATCATGCATGGCACTGAAATAATATCAAAATGTATGGGACCACTTAGTTGTGATTATATCTGATTATAGTTTTTATTTCAGAACGATTAACTAGATCCAGTGAGCAGAAGAGATTCTAAAGGTTGGTGTTAGTGTTGTTTTTGCATCACTTAAAAAAATGCAAAAATTTAATCCACACTTAATTCTTGCCAAATTGCTAGAATTACTAATCTACAATTTAAAATTTCAAACTAGTAAAGATTGGTAACACGTGACATGAATACCTCGTGTGTTTGTCTAATAGTCTCCAGTAACCTCAGCATACATTTCTTTAAGAAAATTTATATATATAATTTATACAAGCTGAAGAATTCAGTGTGAATTGTTAGTCAACTTTTTTTTTTCTGTAAAGTTCAATTGAAGCTTGGGTAAATATATAGTTACATGTTCTCATTTTAGTTTGGGTACAAAACATTACAGCGAAGTTTCTATAAATATTCTGCAAAATTTCTTGAATATAATGGGATGATAAGTTTTCTTCTTTCCCCATCCTAAATGTATTGATGGACACTGAAGAATCTGAATTAGGTGATAATACTTATTATAAGAATAGTTATTGACAAGATTATGATTTTTGGATTTTCCTTTCAGATACCCTTAGTCTTGAAGTAGATAATCAATCTACAGGTAAACTGATATTTCAAGAAAATCCTCTACACCTTCTGTTCAAAATGTGGATTTGAATGTCTATAATGTAAAAGTTGTGGACATAGGAATAAAAGTGAGTTCTGAATTTGCAAATAGGTTTGTATTTTTTCAATGATGAAAATTTTTATAATTAACAGATCCTAATGTTGATCATGCATGGCACTGAAATATAGAAGTCATGAATATCTTGGAGGAAAACCAAACTTGTATCTGACAATGGTTTATTTTCAGGAGAGTGAGGTTGGACCAGTGAGGAGTGAGTGAGTGTTGCATTCTAGGTAGGTGTATTTTCACAATGAAACCTTTTTATCCCATTACCAAGAAATGTACAGTGAACTTCAGGCTTAATTTAATTTCCTAGTTTTGTGGTTAAAATTGTTTAGTCCAAGAAAGTAAAATTTGTACAGCTAAACACACTTGTGCCGTGAAAAGTTAGTGAATTTTCTTTGCAATAGTTCTCTACATCTATTTACTTCTGAAATGATGTTTGCATAGTTCAACTGAATATAATTGTTGAAGGAAAAATTACTGATTAGTTGTATAACTTTAATTTATTAATAGGTTGGTATAAATAACATGGCTGACATTTTCAATCTACCTTGCAGGTCAAAAAAGGAAGTTCAAGTTTTGTGAAAAACTATTAAGGTAAGTCTCTCAGATGCATGACCTTTAGTGACTTTTTGGCTTAGTTTTTTTAAGTGATTGATAGCTGCATTACAAAATGGTCAACAATCCTGATGCTGGACAGGATGGATACATATTAAAATAGATAATTTGTTTCTAAAGGTCTTAGAAATAATGAATTAGATCCACATAATATGATTCTTAAGAATGCCAGTGTTGTTGGTTTATATTTAGCACATTATAACCTATACAAACTGCATCAAGCCTAAAGGAACAAGAGGATGATAGTGAGATAATTAATTTAAGGAAATGTTTGGCAATTTAGGGAAGGTTCGAGGGGGAAAAAATTGATCATACCAAATGGAGAGAAAATCTTGTCATATTGTTTGTATATGAACTCAAAATTGTATTTGAATTTTCTGTATGAACTATCGTTTCTGTAAGATATATGATGATATTAATCTTCTTTCCCCATCCTAAATATTATGAAGGAAACTGAAGATTCTGAACACTAGAATCTTTTTGTAATTGCACTTGAATATAACAAATTCTAATTGTTATCTTTTCCTTTTCAGATGGTTGAAGTATATCATGAAAGTAGGAAACCTATCTACAGTTGGCAGTGGTTAGTAAAATTAGCCAGTTTTTGAACTAGCCAAAAATTCTCAGCGCACAAGCCACATTCTGTGGTTTATGCATTAGTACACATGCACACTTGCCCATTTACCCATAAAATAGCTAATCTTTAATGTAACATTAATAGGATGAAAAATATCTTCTTTCCCCATCCGAAAAGTAATGAAGGACAATGAAGAATCTGAAAATTACTTGATAATATCTTGTCTTCTATACACAGACCACAAGACTTAATGGAATTTCTTTTCAGGTAACCACTGATACTGATGGTTGTGAGCAGGAGTATCTCCTTGAAATTGAATGATCATTGTAAAAGTAAGTTTAGTCAACAAACATTTTTAGTAAAAACCCAGTGAAATTATGACTTCAATATATCTATCAGATGACATCTTTCAGAAGGGGTAAGGCAGATCTAGTGAAGAGGGGAGATTTTATAAAGAACTCCAGGTTAATGTTAAAATGCTTTCATATATATATATATCTTGTGTTTGTGCTCACTTGTGATTTTAAAGTCCTCAAAGATAGGGAAAGATATTCTCCTTCATTGCAGTGCTTGGAGTTGGGCAAAATTAGAGGAAGTTAAGTATGTCATTTTGTTGAAGGTTTAGGGAAATTGTGATTTGTTGGGGTAGGTCATCTAGCTTTTAAAAAAAAGTTACACTGGACTAAAAGCAAACAATATTGATTTACTTTTCTATGATGAAAATTTATTATTTACAGATCATAATGTTGATCATGCATGGCACTGAAATAGATAATAACTAACATAGAAAAAAAGGAAAAAACAGACTTGTAACCAACATCTACCTATTTTTCAGGAGGAGCCACATTTTACCTTATAAATATTTGGTGATATGGGAGGAAGAACAAAGAATGGCTTCAGTTATTAAAAGGTTTGTATTTGCTTGTTTTTCCTTTTATTGAATTTGTTTAGCACTTGTTGATTTTTTGGTTGGTTCACGCTAATATATTTTTAGTAAAAAAAAAAAAAAAAAAAACTATGATGTTTGCATAGTTCAACTGAACATTATGTTGAAAGAAAAAATTACTGAGAAATGGCGACTAACAGATTCATAAATGATACAATGTAGCATTTCTAATGTTTATAATGAACCCCCACAGGTCCAAGAAGGAGTTAACTGCAGGTAAATCCAGTTAAGGTGAGTTTTAAGTTACAAACTTACTGTCAGGTAAATCCAGTTAAGGTGAGTTTTAAGTTACAAACTTTATTGTAGAGGAAGACAAAGTTCAATGACAAGTTACAACTTCATGATGAAAAATATAATACAGAAAAGATCTAATGTTGATCATGCATGGTACTGAAATTTCGTTAAGATGTGTAAGGGAACTTTGTATTTTCTTTATTTCATGGTAATTTTCTTTTCAGGTGAATGACCGTGAATGAAGAAATTAATAAAACTGCAGTTAAGCCGCAATTCGTGATGATCCCTTGAATAAGTAACAATTACATAAAGGGCTTATTATTAAATGTTGAATATTGGAGGTACTTGAGAGGAATGAAGAGAAATTTACATAAACTGTACTGTACTGAACTTTTTATCTTTGTTTTAGAAATAAAGATTTACCATTGACCAACCTTTGAACATGTTTATTTTATCCCAATCCTTTGTGCATCTCTTGTATCTGTAGATGGATGAAAATATGCCTGCTGGGGTATATTAGTTCTTGTGGGCTAGACTTTCGGATATAAACAATGGGTATACTGAGAAGAGGTACGGAAACCAGTATGAATGGGGTGACTTTGGGTATTCTCCATATAGACTGCACTAAATATTCGCAGAACTTGGACATGTATTTTTCATTCACACAGCAAAATTGATCCACCACACTACTGACTTTAAACTAAAACCAAAACCCAAGCTTACCTTCATACAATTGCACAACTTATTGTTTTACTACATAAATCACGATCTCGGTTCCAATCTCCTAGAGGCACGTCCACACGATCTAACAACCTTGCAGGGTTTCCTCATATATCGGTGCGTGCTTGTTATCCTAAAGACTAGCCTACATGTTCACTGCTAGTACTGTAGTGCCTAGCAATAAAGGTCTACGGCTCTAATATAATCATGATGGCCCCGTTCATTACCTATTAACTTTCAAGATTCATTTATTAGTTGACACCCACCTTATCGCTGTATTCTGAATACACTGCTAATAAACTTGGATGTTGATGCGGCAGAATAAAATACCCACCAATCCTGGCTTGTTGTGGAGGGCTTGGGAGGAGACTTGAGGCCCTATGTAGGGGACCGCCCCCAGCCCTTGCCTCTGTCAGTTTTACATGGTCCTTTCTCCCTTTTCCTTCTCTTCATCCATTTCTGCCCACTTATCCTAATCGTTAACTCAATTTTACTTTTTCTCCTATACTTTATCATAATGCTATATGACCTTTGACGTCTGACACATTTGTTTTGTCCATTAACCATTCTTGGAATCTACAAACATCGCCTTATTAACCCCCCCCCCCCAAAAAAAAAAAAAAAAAAAAAAAAAAAAATCCTTACCTGGGGTCTTCACCCCTAAGCCCCACCCCATCGCTGTATTTTTTAATACGCCGCCAATGACCTTAATTGTTCATGTGGCAAAAGATATATGAATTGCCCCGAGGTAAAGGTTCTCAGATTCCACCTTGGCCTCACACCACGTGAGGCAAGTCAGGTAGCACGCTGACGTGGTTTTTCTATCTATCCCAAAGTTGTCCTTCGCTCCACTCCCCTCCCATCTCAAGGTGTCACTATCTCTTACCTCTACTCCCTTTCTTCCCCAAATTCTTTTTCAAATCTAAATCCATATACTCCAAACTATATCACTTCCCCGATGCCTACCCTCCTCTCACTTTACCTGTCACACCAGGTCATCTAAACTTTCCACCCCATCTACCTCATTCTTTCTTACACCCATCTCTTCCTCTACACCCCGGGCATCTATCCCCTCATCTCATAAGAAAATCTGTTTCTCAAACCTCCCTACCCAACTCCCTTCCAGAAACTACTGAAGGCCTCTAAAACTTAAGAAACATGAACCAAGAAAATGCTCCACTTGCCCATCCACCCTCCAATCCCTCTATTCCTATACCATCTACATTGAAAGTATTTGCCGATATCCATCCTCCTCAAGTTCCCCTACCCCTCTTCCCACTCTCCCAAAACACACCCATCCTCTCCTCTATGTGCACCACCATTCTCTCTCCCTCCCTCATTATCCGTACCACTCCCACCTGGATGCTCACAGGACTCCCTTGCATCGCAACATTGTCGTCCTCCGGATCCTTCACCTCCTGACATTATTCTTGATACTTCACCACCTTCCCCTGTCCCCTTATATCGTTCCCTGGATTATGCTCCTACTACTGCAACACTCATCTAAACCCGTATTAACAGATTGTTTCATAATGGCTCCTTTGCCAGTTTTCCTTATTCAATGGCCCTCTTCCTCAGACACAGTACTCTTTATTTCATCCATTCACCCAAAACCCTTAACCCTATCCTCTTACATCTAACTCATTTTATCCTAACCATTAACTTTTTTTTACGCTTTTCGCCACAATACTGTACCATAGTACTATATGGCCTTTGATTCCTAGGACATTTATTTGTTTTAACCTTCAACCATTAACCTTTTCTTCAACCCCTTCTGTTCACTTTCTAAGATGTGAGAGCCGTGTTGAAAGGATACCGTTTGAAACTCGGTCTGGTTTAACTCGTCCACCCAGGTCATTAAACAAGTTTCAGAAATCATTTCCTCTATATATCCTCATTCCCCAGTCTTCATTTCCAACCCTCTCCCTCTTATTACTACCCTGTATTCTTATTGTCCACCTCCCCGAAATACTACTACACTCAACACTTTCCTCTTCCTTCTGTGCTCGGCCTTCACTACTTCCCTCTCTACAAATTGTCTAAGTACTCTAAGTACTCTAAGTACTCTCTAAGTACTCTAAGTACTCTAAGTACTCTAAGTACTCTAAGTACTCTAAGTACTCTAAGTACTCTAAGTACTCTAAGTACTCTAAGTACTCTAAGTACTCTAAGTACTCTAAGTACTCTAAGTACTCTAAGTACTCTAAGTACTCTAAGTACTCTAAGTACTCTAAGTACTCTAAGTACTCTAAGTACTCTAAGTACTCTAAGTACTCTAAGTACTCTAAGTACTCTAAGTACTCTAAGTACTCTAAGTACTCTAAGTACTCTAAGTACTCTAAGTACTCTAAGTACTCTAAGTACTCTAAGTACTCTAAGTACTCTAAGTACTCTAAGTACTCTAAGTACTCTAAGTACTCTAAGTACTCTAAGTACTCTAAGTACTCTAAGTACTCTAAGTACTCTAAGTACTCTAAGTACTCTAAGTACTCTAAGTACTCTAAGTACTCTAAGTACTCTAAGTACTCTAAGTACTCTAAGTACTCTAAGTACTCTAAGTACTCTAAGTACTCTAAGTACTCTAAGTACTCTAAGTACTCTAAGTACTCTAAGTACTCTAAGTACTCTAAGTACTCTAAGTACTCTAAGTACTCTAAGTACTCTAAGTACTCTAAGTACTCTAAGTACTCTAAGTACTCTAAGTACTCTAAGTACTCTAAGTACTCTAAGTACTCTAAGTACTCTAAGTACTCTAAGTACTCTAAGTACTCTAAGTACTCTAAGTACTCTAAGTACTCTAAGTACTCTAAGTACTCTAAGTACTCTAAGTACTCTAAGTACTCTAAGTACTCTAAGTACTCTAAGTACTCTAAGTACTCTAAGTACTCTAAGTACTCTAAGTACTCTAAGTACTCTAAGTACTCTAAGTACTCTAAGTACTCTAAGTACTCTAAGTACTCTAAGTACTCTAAGTACTCTAAGTACTCTAAGTACTCTAAGTACTCTAAGTACTCTAAGTACTCTAAGTACTCTAAGTACTCTAAGTACTCTAAGTACTTTTTTTCAGCCCAGCTCAGTGGGAAGGAGTTTGTTTTTCCCTCTACAGCTCCTTACTATGACAATACCCTCCTATTCCAACAATGTCTCCAGAAACAAATAGGCAGAGTTTCCTTCCGTAAGTGTTCCGATCGTTCCCACCAATTGCATCCAATTCCCAGGCTCGTGCAGTATCTACCATAACTGACATCCTGCTCAGTCTCATTCCTCCATTAACTGTCTCCATCTTCCCAGCTGATTCCCCTGTCAGTGGACAAGGACTGCTCAGATTGAAAATAATCGGGTTGCCTACCTCACTGAATATGATGCATTATCATTACATAGAGGCCACCAGAAGCCCTCCACCAATTTTGCCAAGATTCGTAGACATGACCTCCATGAAGTTCACATTGTAGAACGTGCTTCCCTGTCTGACCACGTCAGTGCCAGAAATTTTGGCGTTTAGACCAACCTCCTAAACACTGTCGTTCCAAAGCCCACAGCTCTGTGCCCATTTGCCCATGATCGTTCAACCTACCCTGCACATATGAAGTACCAATTGGTTTCAAACTTCGCTTGCTACCTAGGTCAGAGTTGTCCATCAATCTGACCCTCCCCCTTGTCTACAAGAATTTCTACAATTCCCCCAATATCTCTTCCTCCAACTCCTTATGTTTTCACTTCTACCCAATCCCTTTCTGTCAAATTATTTTGCCATTCTGAATCCATATACTCCAGTCTCTACTTCTCGGGTGCCTACCACTCCTCGCTGTACACATCACAATCTAAATGTTCCTCTACATTATCTACATCTACCTCTTTCTCTGCCCCTCATAAGAAAATCTTCGTTTCTCAGACCTCCCCAGAAATTCTTGAGGCCATATTAAACTATCTAATCATGACCCAGGGTAAGATGCATACACCTCATCTATCCTCCAATCTCTCTGCTCCCATTCCTTCTACACTCAAGGTTACTACCTCCTACCCTATCTCCTACATCATCTGCATCCTTCATCCTTCCCTGTAATGTGTTCAACAAATCTCGCAGTACTTTGGGCTGAACGGCCTGAGGGAGCCATGTGTACGACATTCCCCTGTTTTAGTTGTATAGCCCTTATCCCTCAAGGGGACCCTGAGGGGTGGACTGTTTCTCTCTTCAACATACTCTGGACTTACCATGGCCAATAATGAAGACATTATACTCTTGTTAGGGTATGAGGCTTGCCACTTCATCAAACAGCCGCACCAACTCCAACTCCCCCGGTTCCCCGACCCCAGACTCTCCTTTGACTATGACTGAATAATGCAACTACTACCCCCTCCTCAATGCCTACTAGTTCATTATCCACCCAAGTCAACACTCCAGGAGACATTTCTACTCTACCGCCATAACTTTTATCAACCACCCCATTCTCCCTTATTACTACTATACAGCCTTATTTTCCACCTCTCCATAATACTACCCCCCTCAACACTACTCCCACTTCCATATGTTCCCATCCTTCTACCGCCCCGTCTCTACAAATATCCTAAATACTCTATTTAGCCCAGCCGAATGGGATCGATTTTTCGTTATCCACCCACAGCTCCTTACTCTGACTATACACTTCTCTTCTAGCAAAGTCTCCAAAAACAAGTAGGCAAAGTCTCTTTCTGTAGCCGGCCCAATCGTTCCTGTCTCGTCA